AAAAAATACCCAGCAGAGAACTATAAATATAGCTACAGAGTCTTTAAAATTAAACTTTAAAATTAAAGTTTTATAACATAACAATTTGTAATAACAATGATCAAGGATCAGGAAATTTGACTCATTTATGATTAACACCCTTCAAAAAATTTCAAGTGGAATTAGCATGTCTTAGACATGAGGAAGGCATGGAACCCATACATGCTTTTGAATAGCCTTGCTGGTTATGCATATCCAAGACATGAACACCGAGTCTGAAAGTGGGGTGTTCTTGGACACAGAAACCCATGTAGAGGCATGGAAATACATGATTTGAATGATTGTGAGGCAGGGTCTTGCTTCAAACTTTATTTTTATCTCATGGTTTATAGTTTTTGTTCCAATCAAATTGAACTCAGGATCATTAAGTGGCTTGTGTCTGGAAACATAGCAGAATAGTTTCAGTGTGAAACATAGATGAATAGTCTCAGTATTATACATGGCAGAATTAATTTCAGTTAAACACAGTAGAAAAATCTCTATAGAACAGAGCTGAATGGTTTCTGTGTAAAACATAGCAGAAAAGTCTCAGGGTGAAATAGGGGTGGAACGACATACCGATACACCGATACATATCGATATTTTCCTCCAAGATACGGTTTACGATACAAGCATTCAAATATCCGTACGAAACGATACACGAACGACCTATCCAAAAATTGAAAATGAAAGTACCTGTCCTTGGAAAATGGCGGCTTGTTCGAGCGAAGAGATGATGTTGATATTGAAAACACACTTTAGAACTAATAAGTTGTTGGTTAGGGGTAAAACGCTTTCACTTTTAAGCAGCCTCGGAAGATTGGTCGGAAGATTGTACAAGAAAAGTTCAGTATATAATGCATGCTATAGTATACACAGAAAATATCGTTTCCAGAACATTTGATATTGTTAATTGTTAGTCCATCTTGTACTTTTTTTGTAATCTCAACTTGGCTACAGACTTTCAGCAATGAATTAATAAAAATGTAAATGTGATCGATGTTTTTTAAATAAATTTTTAGTCAGTGTTCCCTGATAAACTACACAACTATTTGTACACAATTTCTGAATAGTAATTTGGTAATAATAGTATGTACATGTATTATTGTTTTTGTAAAGTTTTAGTAAATGAAATTGATGAACTTCAAGTATTAATTTCAAAGCAAAGTAACATGATTTGATATAGAATAATTTGTTGATTTAATGTCAAGACAAAAAAAAGAAATAAAATACCAATTCTTTTGAATATTTTTATAATTTCTCATAATATTGAGATACGTATCGTATCATGCCAATATATCGATACGTATCGTATCGCAAGATGTGTGTATCGTCCCACCCCTAGGGTGAAATATCCCATGCAGAATAGTCTCTGTGTTAAACACAGCAGAAAAGTTTCAAGGTGAGACATATAGCATAATAATTTCAGTGTGAAACATAGCATAATAATATATAAGTCTCAGGGTAAAACATAGCAGAATAGTTTCTATATGAAACACAGCAGTATCCCCTTTTTGTGAAACATAGCAAAATACAGTGGACCTTCAGTTATCCAGACACCAGATATCCGAATGCTTCAGTATCCGGACGACTTTTCATGGGAACAGAATTTTTTAATCTTATTTTGTCTTGTTTAAATGGTAATTCAGATATCCGGACGCTTCACATATCCGGACAAATTGACTAGGAACCCAAGTGTCTGGATAAATGAGGATCCACTGTATCTCAGTGTGGATAACAGCAGAATATCTCAGTGTGGATAACAGAAGAATATCTCAGTGTGGATATAACAGCAGAATATCTCAGTGTGGATAACAGCAGAATATCTCAGTGTGGATAACAGCAGAATATCTCAGTGTGGATAACAGCAGAATATCTCAGAGTGGATATAACAGCAGAATATCTCAGTGTGGATAACAGAAGAATATCTCAGTGTGGATATAACAGCAGAATATCTCAGTGTGGATAACAGCAGAATATCTCAGTGTGGATATAATAGCAGAATATCTCAATGTGCAACACAACAGATTATCTCACTGAGAATCATAGGATAATAATCTCTGTGTGGAACATGACTGAATTGTCTAAGTGTGAAACATAGCAGAGAAGTCTCAGGGACAGACATTACAGACAGTCACAGTGTAAAACATAGCAGAGAAGTTTCTTTTTGAAGTATAAAAGTATGGTTTCTATGTAAAATATGCCAGAAGAGTCTCAGGATGAAGATAATCTCATGAGAATCACAGGAGAACAGTATCTGTGCAGAACATAACTGAATACTCTCAGGGTGAAGCACAACAGTTTATCTCAGTGAGAATGTGTGGAACATAACTGAATTATCTCAGGGTGAAACACAACAGTTTATCTCAGTGAGAATGTGTGGAACATAACTGAATTATCTCAGGGTGAAACACAACAGTTTATCTCAGTGAGAATGTGTGGAACATAACTGAATTATCTCAGGGTGAAACACAACAGTTTATCTCAGTGAGTACGTATGGAACATAACTGAATAGTCTCATGGTGAAGCACAACAGTTTATCTCAGAGTGAAGCACAACAGTTTATCTCAGTGATAATGTGTGGAACATAACTGAATTGTCTCATGATGAAACACAACAGTTTATCTCAGTGAGAATGTGTGGAACATAACTGAATTGTCTCATGGTGAAACACAACAGTTTATCTCAGTGAGAATGTGTGGAACATAACTGAATTGTCTCATGGTGAAACACAACAGTTTATCTCAGGGTGAAGCACAACAGTTTATCTCAGTGATAATGTGTGGAACATAACTGAATTGTCTCATGGTGAAACACAACAGTTTATCTCAGGGTGAAGCACAACAGTTTATCTCAGTGATAATGTGTGGAACATAACTGAATTGTCTCATGGTGAAACACAACAGTTTATCTCAGTGAGAATGTGTGGAACATAACTGAATTGTCTCATGGTGAAACACAACAGTTTATCTCAGTGAGAATGTGTGGAACATAACTGAATTGTTACATGGTGAAACACAACAGTTTATCTCAGGGTGAAGCACAACAGATTATCTCAGTGATAATGTGTGGAACATTACTGAAATATCTCAGGGTGAAGCACAGTTTATCTCGGTGAGAATGTGTGGAACGTAACTGAATAGTCTCAGGGTGGAGCACAATAGTTTATCTCAGTGATAATGTGTGCAACATTACTGAATTGTCTTAGGGTGAAACACAACAGTTTATCTCAGTGATAATGTGTGGAACGTAACTGAATTGTCTCAGGGTTAAACACAACAGTTTATCTCAGTGAGAATGTGTGGAACATAACTGAATCGTCTCAGGGTTAACCACAACATTTTACTCAGTGAAAATGTGTGGAACATAACTGAATTGTCTCAGGGTAAAACACAACAGTTTATCGCAGTAAGAATTTCTGGAACATAACTGAATACTCTCAGGGTGAAATGCAACAGTTTATCTCAGTGAAAATGTGTGGAACATAACTGAATTTTCTCAGGGTGAAAGAGTCATGTTTGTCTCAGTGAGAATGTGTGTAGCTTAACTGAATAGTCTCGGGGTACTGCACAACTGTGAGTTTATCTCAGTGATAATGTGTGGAACGTAACTAAATTGTTTGAGGGTAAAACACAACAGTATATCTCAGTGAGAATTTCTGGAACATAACTGAATAGTCTCAGGGTGAAGCACAACAGATTATCTCAGTGATAATGTGTGGAACATTACTGAATTATCTCAGGGTGAAGCACAGTTTATCTCGGTGAGAATGTGTGGAACATAACTGAATAGTCTCAGGGTGAAGCACAATAGTTTATCTCAGTGATAATGTGTGGAACATAATTGAACTTTCTTTGGGTGAAACATTATATAAATGGTGCCTGTTTTGGAGGGTAACATTTGAAATTGACACCCCAAGGAAAACCATTGTCAACCGACGCGTATTGACAATGGTTTTCAGTGATAATGTGTGGAACCATTTATTTTATTATACTGAATGTCTCATTGATTTAGGACGTCAGCAAAAAAAAAAAAACGTCGATCGTCTTTACGTTCATGTATAGAAAGCTTTCACACTCACCGGTTCACTTATCTCCTTATTGTTTGTTTGATACTCGAATTAGAGTCATAATTTATCATGTAAAGTTTCGTTATTTCTGTCTCGCAAGCATGTTTCCTACACTCGCAAGCATGTATCGTCTGTCGTTTGTTGTTTTCAAGTAAGCTATATCGGATGCAAGCTTTTATTGACGTCAAGTTAATTCCGGTTTCTTTGGGTGAACCGTACATAATTTCCACGCATGTAGCATTACCGTTGTGTTACCCGTTGTCACGTGTGTTGCTATCAGGGTTGAGATTGTTATGTGTGATTTTAGTATTTAACATGAAAGTATAATAAAACAGTTTATCTCATTGAGAATGTGTGGAATATAACTGAATTATCTCAGGATGAAATGCAACAGATTATCTCAGTGAGAATATGTGGAACACAACTGAATTTTTTCAGGGTGAAATAAAACAGTTTATCTCAGTGATAATGTGTGGAACATTACTGAATTCTCTCAGGTGAAACATGGGAGATAAGTTTAAGCTTGAAATAGTGCATTAAAATTGTTCTTTTTGAGAGAAAAAAAAGAGAATATTCTTAGTTTTCAGTACAAAAGAAAATACAAAGTGTTCAGTTTGGCACTATGAAGTTTATTCTTTGTGTAAAATGTAAGGGAATATTGCTGTTTCTAACTTTCTTTAGTCTAGCTCCTTTAATTAATGCACTCAAAACAATTTTCATTTGTAAAGGAAAACAGTATCAATCATTTAAAAGATTATATGCATGTTAATATGAAATGTTTCTAATTAATTCAGAGTATTCATGTTTTATCAGTGAAATCTATCTTCTTCTATGAATCTGCATAGAGATATTGATTTAGATATTAGAATGCATCACAATTAATTTAAAATTAATTTATCAAAATATTTTTCCCATACTTTGAAATTCTTATATGTAAGGTTTCAAAATCTTGATATATATTTTTTAATCATGAATACATGTGATATTTACACAGTTTTACACATGTATAAAGTGGAAACCCCCCCCCCCTTCTTTTTCCAAACTGATTTGTATTGAAAATATCCGACAATCCTGTAAGAGTTATTGCCCTTTGTAGTTTGACTCCTCCAGCCAAACAAAGAAAATGGCAGCCATTATGGACACTGTCCACCACCAGAGGTGAATCATCTGAGTATTACAGATACAGGTAAATACAGAAGTAATGAAAGGAGTCAACATCAATACAATATCTGCAGGTAAGGCTTGAAAACCATTATAAAAAACATCATTACTGCATGCATCTGCACATCAGAATTTAAGCTTTTATTTTCAGTCTAGCCAAGCCTGGTAAGTCCAGCCCTGAGGCAAAGTTTTCATAATACCTTTTATCACTTAAGAAAATCATATTTTAAAACATGGATATATATTTACTGAGGGAGTTAATCAAGCAAATGGTGCACCCTCTAATTATTTCTTGGCAAATCTTCTGAACTCTTATTCTTTGCAAAAATCCAGAGGGGAAGAAAGTTGTAAGATTCACGTTGTTGTTAAGTTACTTCCCTTGTTTGAGATATGTGTTTGGAATATTTTGATATATTTTTTTCTATTTCTTTCCCCATTTTCTAAGAATTAACAACCATGTTTGATGTTAAATTTCCATGCTTTTAACAGCTGTGCAGCCTCTGTACAATGTGAGCCACCAAACAGTTTGGGTTGTGGTAAAACTAGGACGGGTGGTCAATCATTCTGTCAGAGGAAGACTGAGGAGCCTTAATTACAAGATACAGAAAGGCCAGTCTGGAGCTCAGCATTGTTTGAAATGGAGCTGACTAGTTAGCTTGTTCGTGAGTATATGAAGTCAGAAAATTACACGAATTATTTCACCTTTTTAACTTCTTCAGGAATATTTTTTTATTCTGTAAAACAGAAAGCGTTTAGTTTGTCAGACTTCTTTCTGTACAGATGATCTCCGAATACTAAAATATGCCAAACAATATTTTCAAATGCTGCATTCTGCGCAGGCGCATTCTGACCAAATGGTTCTGCGCAATCTCGAAAACCACAGAAGGGTAAATGTAGTCCCCAAATTTTCTAATGTCCATGCATACATTGAAAGTACCTCTAAAATATTCCTCATGATTGAAGTTTTAAAAAAATATTTTAATTGAAAATTCAAATAACAAGAAATCTGTGCCAACAACTTTTTATGCGAATCTAGTGAAAATCTGTCTTTAATTAAACTATTTAAAAAATTATAATTATTAATCATTACTTACCATTGATTGTTACAGGTTGAAAGTTCAGAAATTGCAGTTAAAATGCAACGATGGTCAAAGAGCAGGTAATCTGATGTCAATACAAAAATTCATTTGAGAGTTATTCCCCTTTCTACATAACTGAAAAACTACTTACACGGGCCTCCACTGTATCCAATGCAGAAAATTGAACATCACTCTGTAAGAAAAAAAAAGAAAAAATAATTTTTTTGTTTCCTGAATCGCTCGCCCAAAGTTATGCATTTTCATGGAAAATTTCAATTATTTTCCTCAAATTTCAAGATCATGTTATATTTTCCGTCAAGTCAAGTAAATTCTCTTTTAAGACACAGAAAGGTCAAGAAATTCATTTTCCCGATGAAGAAGAGAAATTCAGAAAATCCTGCACCTTCCAGTCACTGATCAACTAAGAAGTTTTCGAGAGATAAGTTTTGGTAAGAAAGTTGCGAAGCTATTGTTCAAATGCTACTGTACGTAGTATGTAGACAAAAATGCCACAATGACAGACTCCGATATCTACCACCACGAAAAACCACGCTAGTCCAACCATCAGCAGCGCATGCGCTCGTCCCTTGCTAAATTTTGCAGACCCCAAAGAAGAAAATGACATAAACTTTATGTTGTAAAAAATTCACCAATTGTAGTGAAGATAGGCTTGTCCATTGAAAAAGAAGAAAATATTAATGGATTCCAAAACCATGTGGCCACTATCACTCTTCTAATATTTCACATTTTATTTTTATTTAAAATATTTGAAGAAAAAATCTTTTTACAAAAATGATTTTAAAAAAATTAACAATAAAAAATGATATAATGAAATAAGAAATGATTAAGCAAAAGATGAATTAATTTATCCATAGAGATAAAAGGGACTCAGGAAATCATGGAGGTCTAATGCCGGCCAGTGCGCAAGCGCAAACTTCGTGAATTTCTTTTGGTGTCCCCACATTCCATTTCTACATATTAAAAGAGAAAACTTTAAAATACCAGAAACGTAAGTCAAAAAATTAAATCTAGAAAGAAATTCTCTTAAAACAAGAAATTTTTTTCAAAACTGTTGTTTTGTTGAATATGTCTTGCGTGACGTAGGGTACAATATTCCTATAGGCCTACATATAAATACACACAAGAAATTTATTCAGATTTAAAAATATATATATATAAAAGCATATTTAATTCCAATTAATAATTATTGATGATTATTAAAGAAAAAACTGCTGAGACACAAAAAAAGTTTGCAAGAAAGAAGTGCGCACGCGCCACGTTCGTGTTCATGAAGTTGGTAGCCCCAATCTGACCATGATGCGCCGAGATTAAAATATTTCCGTCAAGATTGTCTCTCTCAGAAAAAAAACAAAAAGCAAACAAAATTATCTTAATTCTTAAAAAAAACTAACCTTGAATGTTACAAAAATATGTTGTCCATATTATAACACTTTAAATATGATGCCGTTTTAAACAACTGAGGCATCCCAACATGTGAACTATATGGCTTCACCTTTGGCGCATGCGCCCGCTCCATATTTCCATGTCACATTCCGCTTAAAAAAACCCTTTAGAAGGATATAAGCACCTTTTACTTCTACATCTATGTTAATTTCTTTTTGAATGTCTGAAATGGTTTTGACTTATTTAGTGCATGCGCAGTGCAACGTCGACATAAGTTATGCACAATACTGGTCTTAGAAAAATAAGTATTTAAAGATATCTCTATAACCTTTGAAGTTATTTAAATAAAATGTATAAGTGTGATGATTGACTATCTAAGGCATTTTTATTACATCCTAACACTTCAAATTTTGAAAAAGAAATATTCAAAAATAGTGATCCACACTAAAATAAAGAACAGAATAGGAGAGAACACGAGGTCCGCCGTCCGCCATCTTTTTCATTTTGGAGTCTAATACCTGATTAAATTTTCATCACAATGAATACGAATGAAAGAGAGCTAAAAAAGTTACCTTGTTTGAAGATAAATGTTTATTTAATCCTGTCAATCATCAATCAGCCAGTAAAATCCTGCACGACAACAGTACAACACAACCCAAGCTTGTCTCTCACTGCATCCAACATGGCGACCCACATACAACACACAAGGTAGACCTTCAGGCGGGAAGAATAAATATGCGCCAAAAATTATGAAAACCATAACTGACCTTGTTCACTCCAAACACATCTCCTTTCTGAGTTTTATTGCAGATACTTTAAATTTATAACAATGAAGCCAGGTGCCACTTATTTTTAAAGTGCACCTTTTGCACAATTTATGCACTGACGCCCCTCCTGGGTCACATTGAAATAGAGTTGAAATTAAGCTTTTATCTTTAAAACTCGTCAGCAACTGCTAATCCATATGTCTTTCATGAAATAAAGATCCTGTTTGTATTTGATTGTTCATTTTCTATCACCTATGTGAGAAGTTTTATTTATGATATTTTTTGAAAAAAATTTCTTTCAGTTTTCTTCACAAAATCAGCAATGTCCATGCCAGACAGACTATTTAGAGCCAGTCTTAATCAGCCTTGAACTACCACAACTGACAAATTCTTGTCTGACCTACAAAAGAGTCTCAAAAAAGAAAATGTCCGACCATTCAAAGTAAGTAGGTGGTTCTATCACATCCAGACACAACAGATATGCAACGCAAGCCTGTGCACACCATGCTTCACATCCCTCAGAGTTCAAACAAACTGCACGTTCACAAGACTACATAATAAGCACCAGTATGTAAGGTCTACTGAAAAACAGATTGGCAAAAAAATGGCGGTCTAGTAAGTCACGCCCTGCAATCACAACTCACTGTGAATAGTCTAGTTCATGAGCGCTGGAAAAGCAAAGGTAGAACCCCACCTCAGATTCACAAAAATGGCGCTTTTCGGAAACGGATGTCTTCATTTATAGATGCCATGCAAACAATTTACCAAAATCTCCCTCGACTTCTTTATGCGCATGCGTTGCATAGAAAATACCTCTTTATCGCAAAATTTGTAATTTTTATTGTCTCATGAAAGCTTTTTCGGCTTTCGGTTAATTCTCAAATTCAGGTATTAAAGTCCTTTCTATTTCAGATCTTAACTTAGCATTTGTCACACAAGTTTGAAGTCACGCCATTTTGAAAACTGGAATGGGCGATGCACATGTTACCATGCCGTTGTATTCAGAATTTCCTATTCACAATTGAGACAAGTCCATTTGATCTATATCAAGCCCCTTATATCAAGAAACCTAGGCCAAAAACTGTACTTATACACAAATGTAAAAAGAACCGGCAAACACATCAATGTAGGTGACGCCATGCAGTGCAAAGCAAAGGCACGTTTTAATCACCTTTAGTCATATTGAATGATCTCTTTTTTTCTCATTGCAAATCAAGAATTTAACAATTCCTCACTAATAATAATCTTCTTTCATAACCACTTTTTGAGAAAAGAATCCAATATTACCACCTAACCTTACCATTGACAGAAAATTTACCATTCCTCCAAGTAATTAATGCTACCGGTCTTGTGTTTCAGATTAATGGCGTATCCAAAGGGAGATTACTCATGCTGGCCTAGACATTAACTGGCTGTCTAAAAAACAAGTGGGCCACTTGGTGTATGCTACGGCAGGTCACAATGAATACTGATGTCACTGTTGTTTGTTAATTCTCTTGTCTGGTATGTATTCAAAATAGGAGGAGGGGCTTACACAGTATTTGATCCAACAAAGATTTTCCCAAAAAATCATTTCTTGAGAGTCTAATGAAACTACTGTTAAATATTCAAATATCATTCAGTGTAAGAAAAAATCCTATAGGAAAAAAATCATACTTCTCCTTTTTTTCTTTGTGTTGCATAGAAACAGGGAGAAAAGAAAACTTTTGTGTGCACTTAAGAAAGATTGATACATTACAATTCAGAGAATTAAATACCTTGAAGTCTAGAAGAGATAAAATTTCTTGCTCAGCCAGATATTTAAACATGGGAGCATATTTTGCAAAGCTGTTAAAACTTGCCTGAATTTGATTGGTTATTGTGTAATAGCTAAAAGCACACCCACCATATCAGTAGTTTAAACAAGGTCAGAGAGCCAGTCTAGTATAACATGTGTCTGCACTGTAAGTTTTATACAAATTTATTCAATATGGCTGAACTTCCCCATTACACCATGCAAACCTGTCTAGAAAACTAAAGAGATGAGTCATGTCAAACAACAAAAAGCTGATTACCTTGCAAGAGAAAAAATTAATATCCCAAACAGTGATGAAAAAAATCACTAGAAGACTCACAAATGGAAGTAGCTTTCCTAACAGAGTGTGCCATGACACATATGTTTAAGGGATCCTACGCCTTCCAGCTCAGGAGTTCCGTTTGAGACGAGGAATTTTTTTTGGCGCAATCCGTGTGGCGCGAAAGTTCAAATTTGAATTTTTTGAAATATGTTGTAGTATATTTCAAGAAGATGGAATTCTTTTATATTACTGAAACTTTCTACAGTTTTATTTGTGAATTTTTAATTTGTGGATTTATCTTTTTTCAGGTTGACACAGCCTTGAGGCCAGGTATTAACTTATATCATTACCGTCCCATCTTAGCATGTAAAACATTGAGATGCATTAAAGGATTTCCTTTATTTTGTGAAAAAAGTGTTTTTATTTAATACATGTACATTGATGGAACATGGATATACAATGATGGTAGTCAAACAATGACCTGAGATTTAATCTTGCTTGAAGTTGCATTATGTACTTAATGGAGATGTTTTACAGGAAAACAGCTGTTATGGTTGAATGCATTTTGTAATTAATTGACATGGTTTTCTCTATTTTCATTGGAAGTAGGTCATGTTCAAATCACCTTTTTCATCATTTTTGCATCATTTTCCTGTTTATATTAAGTCACACAATGAATCAAAATAAAGCACTTGTATCAGCAAAACTCACAGTGGCAATCCTGACCCAGGTCACATAGTACATGTTTATATACCTGCATTATAACACATTTATAAAGCATTCACTAGGGCTGAGCTGGTATTTTGAGCAGGATAATTATAGGGATTCTTTATCATCATTTTTGTTTCCTGGTGGTAAACTGATAGTGGTAATATAAACAAGCAGTAATGTAATGGCAAGTAATTCAAGTGTCAAACTCCATGCAAGAAACAGTAATGATGGTGGTGTGAAATGACAAAAGTACAAAACAATTCAAACAAAATTGACTATGAACTGACAGAAGTAAAAACAATCCTGACAAAACTTCTACTGTGCTGACTGACAAAAGTTTAACAGACTCTGAACTAAATTGACCAAGTCAAATGACAAAATTGACCATGTGGACTAACTACAGTACAACAAAATCCTGACAACATTGACCATGTGAACTGACTGAAGTACATCAGAACCGAGACAAAATTGACCATATGAACTTCATGTAACTGCAGTCAACAAAATCCAGACAAAATTGACCATACGAACTTCAAGTAACTGCAGTCAACAAAATCCAGACAAAATTGACCATATGAACTTCATGTAACTGCAGTCAACAAAATCCAAACAAAATTGACCATATGAACTTCATTTAACTGCAGTCAACAAAATCCAGACAAAATTGACCATGTGATCTAAATGAAATACAACAGAAGCGAGACAAAAAATCAAGCCAAAACTGACCTTGTGAAGTAAATGCAGTACAACAGAATCTTGACAAAATTGACCATGTGAACTGACTACAGTACAACACAATCTTGACAGAATTGCAATGTGAATTGACTACAGTACAACAGAATCTTGACAAAATTGACCATGTGAACTGACTACAGTACAACAGAATCTTGACAAAATTGACCATGTGAACTGACTACAGTACAACACAATCTTGACAAAACTGCAATGTGAACTGACTACAGTGCAACAGAATCTTTACAAAATTGACCATGTGAGCTGACTACAGTACAACAGAATCTTGACAAAATTGACCATGTGAACTGACTACAGTAATTGACCATGTGAACTGACTGCAGTTAAACAGAATCAAGACAAAACTGACCATCTGAACTACATGTAACTGCAGAACAACAGAATCAACACAAAATTGACCATGTGAATTAACTACAGTACAACAGAGTCAAGAGAACAGTGGTTAGAGCCTCTGCTCTAGAGTAGCCGAGTAAGGAGTCAATCCTTACGTCATAGGTTGGAATGTAGAGACTGGTCCTCCTGTCCCATCTCGCAGTAGGTGTTGGGACGAAAAAGATCCCTCAATGCTCAATGGTCCTGAGTGCCTAGTATAGGACAAAAATTTGCAGCTCTCCATCAGCAAATGGTGCCTCTCCAAAAAAATTCTCAAAAGGGACTTTGAACAACAAACAAACAGAATCAAGACAAAATTGACCATGTGAACTAAATGCAGTACAACGGAATCCTCATGAAATTGAAAGTACTGTATACAGGGTAATTTTCGCCCCATGTTATTTTCGCCCTTTCACACTTGTGGACAATTTTGCCCCGTTTTAAATTCGCCCTGTCAGAGTTTTATTTAAGCAATTATACTGTATTCTTTGAATTCGCCACGTTTTAAATTCGCCCAAATGAGGATACGGCGAAAGAAGCAAAATTAAAAAGAAGGCGAAAATTTCCCTGTATACAGTAGTACAATAAAATCTTGACAACATTGACTTTGTGAACTGATGGTTGTACAAATCTTGACAACACTGACTGTGAACTGATGGTTGTACAACAAAATCTTGACAACATTGACTTTGTGAACTGATGGTTGTACAACAGAATCTTGACAACATTAACTAAGGTTACTGATGGTTGTACAACAGAATCTTGACAACATTGCCTTTGTGAACTGATGGTTGTACAACAGAATCTTGACAACATTGACTTAGGTAACTGATGGTTGTACAACAGAATCTTGACAACATTGCTTTGTGAACTGATGGTAGTACAACAGAATCTTGACAACATTGACTTTGGTAACTGATGGTTGTACAACAGAATCTTGACAACACTGACTATGTGAACTGATGGTTGTACAACAAAATCTTGACAACACTGACTTTGTGAACTGATGGTTGTACAACAGAATCTTGATAACATTGACTTTGGTAACTGATGGTTGTACAACAGAATCTTGACAACACTGACTTTGTGAACTGATGGTTGTACAACAGAGTCTTGACAACACTGACTTTGTGAACTGATGGTTGTACAACAGAATCTTGACATCATTGACTATGTGAACTGATGGTTGTACAACAAAATCTTGACAACATTGACTTTGTGAACTGATGGTTGTACAACAGAATCTTGACAACATTGACTAAGGTAACTGATGGTTGTACAACAGAATCTTGACAACACTGACTTAGGTAACTGATTGTTGTACAACAGAATCTTGACAACATTGACTTTGTGAACTGATGGTAGTACAACATAATCTTGACAACACTGACTTTGGTAACTGATGGTTGTACAACAGAATCTTGACAACACTGACTTTGGTAACTGATGGTTGTACAACAGAATCTTGACAACACTGACTTTGTGAACTGATGATTGTACAACAGAATCTTGACAACACTGACTTTGGTAACTGATTTTTGTACAACAGAATTCTGAAAACAGTGACTTGGTGAACTGATTGTAGTACAACATGATCTTGACAACATTGACTTTGGTAACTGATGGTTGTACAACAGAATCTTGACAATACTGACTTTGTGAACTGATGGTTGTACAACAGAATCTTGACAACACTGACTTTGTGAACTGATGGTTGTACAACAGAGTCTTGACAACATTGACTTTGGTAACTGATGGTTGTACAACAGAATCTTGACAACACTGATTATGTGAACTGATGGTTGTACAACAAAATCTTGACAACAATGACTTTGTGAACTGATGGTTGTACAACAGAATCTTGACAACACTGACTTAGGAAACTGATGGTTTACAATAAGAATCTTGACAACATTTTTTACTTTGTGAACTGATGGTTGTACTTTAAATTTTATTTCAACATTGACTAAGGTAACTGATGGTTGTACAACAGAATCTTACAACATTGCCTTTGTGAACTGATGGTTGTACAACAGAATCTTGACAACATTGACTTTGTGAACTGATGGTAATACAACAGAAACTTGACAACACTGACTGAGTTAACTGAATGGTAATACAACAGAATCTTGACAACACTGACTGAATTATCTGATGGTAGTACAACAGAATCTTGACAACATTGAACTGTCAGTACAAAAGAATCCTTGGGGTCAGCTTTTTAAATTATACGAAGAAGCAAAATTACATTAGATTTTTAAAGAGAGCCATTCTACCTAAAATGACAACACAAGTAACTGCAAATAGTTTACACAAATAATATAGTCACACCTCATCTTGTTAACCTAGTGAGATGAAGGGTTTTATATTCTGAAATTAAAATACCCTAAGGAAAAAATGACCTCTCATTCCTCAAATCCTTTGATTATTTTGAACCACTGTAACAGTTTGAAACTTAATAGTGAAATGGAACTGCATATCATGTCCACATGAAGAGATTGTAAAACTGACCCTGACTTCTGTCCCTTATAAAACAGGCTTGTTCCCCTGCGAGACGATCATGAATAATTCATGAATTTCCTTGAATTTTTCATGAATTTTATTCATGAAATGTTCATGAAATGTTCATGAAGATCCTATGAACTTATTATTGGACATTTTCAAATCATGAATTTTTATTCATGAAAGAAAATTGATGAATATTCATGAATATTTTTTTTCATGAATAATTCATGAAGAGTCATATTCATGAAGATTCATCATATTGTGTCTGTCCAATAATAAGTTCATTGCATCTTCATGAACTATTCATGAATAATTTGATGAATTTTTTCAGGAATGTTCATGAATGAATATAATTCATGGACCATTAGCATTCATGAATATTCTTGCTTATTTGTAAACAAAAAATGCAATATTATTATTCATGTTTATTCATGAAAATGCATGAAGTCATGCTAAAAAAGTAACAGTAGATGATTTATAATACAGCATCTTGAAAGATGTCACAGAAATGATGTTTGTTTTCCAACCATTGCAACAAAATCTTTGTTGTAAAAAACTTGACAACATTGACAATTGTGACACATTAAACATAATCTTGACAAATTGACTTCCTGGTAACTGAGTATAAAAAATTTCAATTCAAATTTGCAACTGATGGTTGTACAACAGAATGTTTGACAACACTGACTTTGTGAACTGATGATTGTACAACAGAATCTTGACAACACTGTTTGGTAATTGTGTTTTAATGCAACAGAAATTGGACAGAAAACACTGACTTGGTGAACTGATGGTAGACAAAGTTTGTTGAGCAACATTGACTTTGGTAACAGTTTTCATGTGCTTTCAAGCAGTTTGACAATACTGACTTTGTGAACTGATGGTTGTACAAAAATCTTATTGTCTCTCCATGACTGGGTTGTACAACAGAATTTCATCATTGACTTTGGTAACTTGGTTGTACAACAGAATCTTGACAACACTGATTATGTGAACTGATGGTTGTACAACAAAATCTTGACAACAATGACTTTGTGAACTGATGGTTGTACAACAGAATCTTGACAACACTGACTTAGGAAACTGATGGTTGTACAATAGAATCTTGACAACATTGACTAAGGTAACTGATGGTTGTACAACAGAATCTTGACAACATTGCCTTTGTGAACTGATGGTTGTACAACAGAATCTTGACAACATTGACTTTGTGAACTGATGGTAATACAACAGAAACTTGACAACACTGACTGAGTTAACTGAATGGTAATACAACAGAATCTTGACAACACTGACTGAATTATCTGATGGTAGTACAACAGAATCTTGACAACATTGAACTGTCAGTACAAAAGAATCCTTGGGGTCAACTTTTTAAATTATATGAAGAAGCAAAATTACATTAGATTTTTAAAGAGAGCCATTCTACCTAAAATGACAACACAAGTAACTGCAAATAGTTTACACAAATAATATAGTCACACCTTTTTTGTTAACCTAGTGAGATGAAGGGTTTTATATTCTGAAATTAAATATAAGGAAAAAATGACCTCTCATTCCTCAAATCCTTTGATTATTTTGAACCACTGTAACAGTTTGAAACTTAATAGTGAAATGGAACTG